AGCCCTTTGGGAGGCCGAGATGGGTGGATCATGAGGTCAAGAGATCGAGACCATCCTGGTCAACAAGGTGAAACACCATATCTACTAAAAATACCAAAATTAGCTGAGCATGGTGGCACGTGCCTGTAGTCCCAGCTACTTGGGAGGCTGAGGCAGGAGAATTGCTTGAACTCAGGAGGCGGAGGTTGCAGTGAGCCGAGATTGCGCCATTGCACTCCAGCCTAGGTAACAAGAGCAAAACTCCGTCTCAAAAAAAAAGATACAAAAATTAGCTGGGCATGGTGGCACGTGCCTGTGGTCCCAGCTACTTGGGAGGCTGAGGTGGAAGAATCGCTTGAACCCAGGAGGCAGAGGTTGTAGTGAGCCGAGATTGCGCCACTGCACTCCAGCCTGGCAACAGAGCAAGACCCCGTCTCAAAAAAAAATTATATATATATATGTATCTATAAATAGATATATAATTATTATTATTATTTTGAGATGGAGTTTTCCTCTTGTTACCCAGGCTGGAGTGCAGCAGTGCGATCTCGGCTCACTGTATCCTCCACCTCCTGGGTTGAAGCAATTTTCCTGCCTCAGCCTCCTGAGTAGCTGGGATTGCAGGCACATGCCACCACACCTGACTAATTTTTGTGTTTTTAGTAGAGATGGGGTTTCACCATGTTGGCCAGACTGATTTTAAACTCCTGATATCAGGTGATCTGCCCGCCTTGGCCTCTTAAAGTGCTGGGATTACAGATGTGAGCCACCAAGCCCTTCCTGCATATCTTCTTATATAATGTTTTTCTCTCCCATTAGACTATAAGCTGTCAGTGCAGGGACCATGTCTGATTTGTTGACCACTAGACCCAGCACACAGTAGGTGCTTAATAAATTCTCTCCCATATGAAGTCTGGAATAAGCCTTTTTCATTCTGATTGTATTAGTTGCCATCAACAAATATTCCCTCTGCACCCCCTTCCTGGCATCCAGGTCTCAACTGAAATGTCACCTTCTCAGTGACCCTAATCTAGCCACCTCCACTCCCAGTCACTCCATCTTGTCTTCATTTTAGTTTCTCCATAGCATAAGCCACTCCCTGCATATACATTTGTTTATGTTCATGTTGTCTCCGTCCCTGTCCAGACCGAGCTCCAGTGAGACCAGGAGCCCTGCCTGCTTGTTCACTATGATATCCTAGTGCTTAGGAGAGCATCTGGCACATAGTAGGTTCTCAGTTGATATCTTTTGAATTAATGAATGAATTGGAAAGCCCAATCCTGTGGTCAGCCCTGGCCAATGCTAGGGACAGATGGGACTGAGGCCAGCAGAGAGCACTGCCAGGACCTAGGTACACTCCAGGTTTAAATCTGTCTATCTTTGGGACAGAAGGATGTCTTTATTCCAGTTCCGAAGCTTTGGAAGTAACCTTGCTGCCACCTGCGCGCCCTGCCCCCATAGGTCATTAGGAGAACTGAGCTTTTTATAGAGAAGAAAAGGAACTTATTTCAAGAGAGACCCCAACTATGACCATGAGCTACTGCAAATGGAAAACTTTCCTGAAAAGGTTCCCCATTCCTCAGCCTGGCCTTCAAGGCCTCCTGGTCCCCCTGCTTTCCTCCCCACTTCCCTCACAGCTCCCCTCACACTAAAATGCAGCCACTGGAGGAACTGCTGTAGTACACATGTGCATGCTCGCCAGTGCCTCTGTGCCTTTGCATCTGCTGTTCCAGAGCCTCTCAGGGCACAACAGAGGCCCGAGGTACTTTCCATTTTGTTGAATCAGTGTACCTAAAATTGAAGACAGGCCCGAGCAAGATGATAACAATGGCAGTATAATTTAAATATTTACATTTGACAAATTACTACCTTTTTTTCCTTTGAGATGGAGTCTCGCTCTGTCTCCAGGCTGGAGTGCAGTGTTGCGATCTTGGCCCACTAAACTCCGCCTCCCGGGTTCAAGCGATTTTTCTGCCTCAGCCTCCTGAGTAGCTGGGACTACAGGCACGTGCCACGAAGCCCAGCTACTTTTTGCATTTTTAGTAGAGATGGGGTTTCACCATGTTCTCCAGGATGGTCTCTATCTCTCAACCTTGTGATCTGCCCGCCTTGGTCTCCCAACGTGTTGGGATTATAGGCGTGAGCCACTGCGCCCGGCCAACAAATGACTACTTTTAACAGAAACAACCAAATGTAGTGTGAGTGTGTTATTCTAGGATTTCTCCCAAAAAAGTATAAGTTCACAGTGTGCTGAAGGCAGTATGGTCAGGAAAGGGGGTGTGAATTTCAAGTTGTCTGATGAACAGGGTCCTCCTTCAGTCGTGTCACAATCCACACTTAAAAGCCCCATGAATGTGTGGGCTGGGCCTCCTGCCCTCTTGGCTGTCTCCCACCCCCACAGACCCTGCGTGGATGTCAGCCTTCCCTGAGCTGGGACGAGGTCACAGTGTTGGTCATGGTGACCCCCTCCAGCCTTGGGCAGCCCTGTCCCATTTACTTTTGATCGTCAGGGCCTAGCACAGATCCGGCAATTAGAAAGTATTTCATAAATACATAGTGAATAATGAATAAAGAAATGTAAATTTGAGGATATAGTAGTAATAGGTTTACCATGTGGGGTTTTGACAAAGGAGGAAGAATTTTTTCCCCACCCTGGGCAAATGGAGCTGCTGAGAGGGCAGGGCAGGCATGCCAAGGGCAAGTCCAAGGCTGGTTCCTTTTGTGACTTGAGGCAATAGATTGGGCAGCCCTACCACATGGAAAGGCTGGGTTGTATGGGGTCATACCTTGGCACTAACCACACTCAGGAAGCTCAGAGCCTGACTGGCCTGGGACTTGCCTCTCAGTGAAGGTGGGGAGGAGCTGACCTGTACAGGCCACAGGTGTGTCAGGCCTGCTGAGCTGTGTCTAAGTCATGGGTGACATTAGTGCAGCCTGCAGGTCCATGCAGAGCTGGGGGGAAAAGAGATCCTGAAAGTCTCAGAACAGCTGCAAGGAAATATCAGCTCTTCAGAGGGTTAGCAGGGAGGACGCAGTGTGGCATGATGGTTACGAGCGTGGGCGTTGGAACTCTGTGCCACTACTCAGAGACCTTGAGCAAGTGGCCTCATACCTCCCTGGGTCTCATTTACTCATCTACAGTGATGCCTGCCTTGAAGGCTTGCATGAGGACCAAGTGAGATTATTCCTTAAAAAAAGGTTAGCAGAGCCCTTGGTGCACAGCAAAGGCCAAAAACCAAAAGAAACGCCTGAAGTTATCTTTGGAAGGTGGGACTTTAGGGCTCATGTAGTAACACAGCAAAGACTGGCAGGAGTCCTGCAGCCAACCAGGCCTGGGTTGGATGCTGAGCCACCAACTCGCTGGGTGATTTGGGGCACCTCACTCCCATTTCTGAGCCAGGCTCCTCGTCTTTGCAGCAGATTTCACCCGACTTTCCTCAGAGGGCAGAGTGAGGACTGGCCCAGATGAACGGCACTCAGTGGGCACCCAGGAATGGAAGCTACAATCACCATTATGATGGGTCTTGCATTCCCAAACTGGATGCCTATAAGGGAGTGTTTTTTAGGGACTTGCTCAGGACATCTGTAGGACTTCTGGTTCTGTGTCAGGATGGAAGGGGAGCCCATGGGAGGAGGAGGCCTTCACACAAGGATCACTGCCATAAAGATCAAGGGCCATAGCTCAGCTAATAATTTTTCTTCAAAGGCAGCAGGGCAGGCCAGGGCAGGCAAGCCCAGGGAAGGCAAGCAGGCGGATTGGGGTCACTGCATACCCACAGGCTGGGCTCTGCCTGCTCTTGGCACGCCTTTGGGCTGGGCATACCTGCGGTCACCGCTGCTATGCAGCTCCCACCCTATGTGAGTGAGGGGCCTGGGGTGGGGACTAGGAAAGGGAGGAGACCAAGATGAAACAAAGCGTCTGCCTTGGGAGAGCAGCAGAGCTCACACTGGCCGGGCACTTAGGAGGTGCCCACCTCTGCTTGTATGTGGGGGGCCACACTCGTCCTCTCTTCAGTAAGTGAGATGGGGCTGTCTCCACTTAAGATGAGAAAACTGGGGGTGAGATGATTTGCCCCAATTTCTACCATCAGCCAGAGGGAAGGGCCCAGTGTGCCTGGCACCCAAGTCACGCTCGGTGAAGCTGCCAGTGTGTGTGCAGGCACAGGTGTGTATATTCCATCCAACTGTTCTCACACCAGCATCAGCGTGAAGAGGTTGTGTGTGTGTGTGTGTGTGTGTGTGTGTGTGTGAGTGGCTGCAGCAGAGGGGAGGTGTGCACATGGCGTGTGACTCATGTGACTGCCTGAGTGTGGCAGATGTGAACCCCTAAAATCTCAGTGTGTTCCATCACATGCAGAGGGCAGAAGCATTTCCAACCCACAGAGACAGCCCAGGGCTCATGGCGAATGCCAGGGTGTCAGTGAACACAGGGCTGGGCCAGGCCCTAGGGGAAGGAAGCTTCTGTTATAGGGGCTGTTTGTCTTTTGGGGGATCTAGGCCCATCTTCAGAGGGCTCCAGGCTGGGATTGGGGGGTGCACTGCAAAGCAGGCTCCCCAGCTTGTGGGCACCTATGGATCCCATCCACTGCCCTGCCACACCCTCTGTGCAAATGCAGGCTATGTGAGCTGGTGGGGCAGGGCCACAGCAGTGCCACAGTGAGGGTGGCAATGCTCAGGCATCCCCATCACCACTCCTGACAAGAAAGAGGCTTTGAACTTTACTGGCAGTGGTGGTGGCCAGAGGCCAACGCCACAGCATCGTCAATATTGACTGAGGAGTCATTGCCTAGGCAGAGCCTGTCACAGGGCGGGGAGGTGGGAGGCCTTGGGGCTGCTCTGGCTTTTCCCCATACAAGAGCATCTTCTGGGCTGGGCAGAGGGCTTGGCCAAGCACCCACAAGCTTCTCAAGGCCTATTCAAATGTAAACGGCTTAGAAAAAGACGATTGGCTCTAATAGAAAAAAAAGAAAAACTACAAAAGTGAAATTAATAAATGTTATAATTAATGCATTCAGACTTAATTATTAAATTTAGAAATCAAAGCAATTTTATTACACTTGAAATCCATTTGTAGGCTCCATTTCCTCATTTTTTGAGAATTCCCCAGTATGCATGACTCTCAGGAAATCATGGCCAATTGTTAAAGACTCATCGTGAAACAGTTTACCAAGCAACAGCAACATTTTTATATTGAATGTGGGATTTATATTTCATGTGGGTACACTTTGTTTCAATATATGGAATTAATTTGCTTTTTTTTTTTTTTTTTTTTTTTCAGATGGAGTCTTGCTCTGTCATCCAGGCTGGAGTGTAGTGATCTTGGCTCACTGCAACCTCTGTTTCGTGGGTTCAAGTGATTCTCCTGTCTAGCCTCCTGAGTAGCTGCGATTACAGGCGCCTACACTGTGCCTGGCTAATTTTGTATTTTTCGTAGAGACAGGTCTCTACCAACATGGTGGCCAAGCTGGTCTTAAACTCTTGACCTCTATCTCTCCAGCCCACACTGGGTCCCTCTGCCTTGAATGTCCAGCTGAGACCCACTCCTCCATACTCATCAAAGCCCAGTCTGCCCATCACAGCTGGAGTGAGGCCTCCTTGACACCTTCCCCATTCCCCAACACATAAGCCTTCTCAGTTGCTCCATCTGGGGCACCCCGTACCCCTGCGTCTTTCCAGTCTTTGCCCATGTGGCTCCTTCCCTTCCATGTAGCAGAATCCAATCATCATCCTTTTAGACCTAGCCAAACTCCACCTTTTCCAGGACACCATCTGGACTGCTTGGGACACACTGATGCTCTTTTCTGTGTGTGTGGCACACAGTGAATGTAGCTCCTGACACCACTGAAACAGGGACACTCCCAGTTTTCTGGAAAGAAGCTCATATTTAATATTTAAAGTTAAACATCATAGGAAATATAGAATTGTGTTGGACTGCTTCCTATGCTTTTTTATGGTTTATGTTATTTTGATTTCTAAACTGTATTTTGAGGGGTGGGAGTTTCCTTATGGTCTTTTCAACATGAGGTTCCCTAAAGGACCCAGGCCTCTGTCCAGAGAACACCTACCCCAGTCCTGTGACTGTCTATTTTTATATATGTTCCCTCTAGCCCTGTACTGGTCTTGGTGGGGGCCAGGCACAGGGTCTGATCCCCATGTGAAACCCTGGTGGATGCAGGGCCTCAACAAAGGCCTGTGTCTAGGGGGAGATTTGGAGGCTTAAGGCTCTAGGTGCATAAGAAATGATGAAGATGATGGGGACATATCCATAACAGAATGCCCAGGGCTGGGTAGACAGATCAGAAAATCACAGGCCTCTAGTCCAGTCTTGAAACTAGAATCAAAAGCAGATGGGAGGAGGCCAGAGTGCAGTTTGCCATGGTAACACTGGCTCCTCCCTTTGGGATGTGAAGTTAAGGAGGCCCCTGCTTTCCACCTTTTCACCCTGGGTGTAAAAGGATCACAACTGTGATTGCCAACATGCACCAAGGCCTTCACTTGGGCCAGCTGCTGTTCTTGTCGGAGATGACACCATCTCACTTCATGCATGTCATCTCACTTCAGGCCACAATCCTGGAAGGGAGGTCTATTTCTGTCCCCATTTTTCAGATGAAGAAACTAAAGCTCAGAGACATTAAGGGCCTAGCTCAAGGTCACTCAGCTGGTGAGTGGCAGAACTGGGATCTGCTTGCAGATCTGGCTGGCTCTAAGTCCCTGCCTGTAGCCCTGTCTGCCTTCCTGGACCTGAGGGGTTTCAGTCAACAGCCCTGAGTTCCAGAGCCTGAGCTGAGGAAGAGAGTAGGTTCCTGCCCCATGGGCTCTGGCTTTCCACTCACTTCTATTAAAGGAGACAAAACAAAGCATTATAGTGCTGGCTCAGGTTGACTCCAGCCGCGGAAGGGGAAGCTGTGTCCTTCAGATGCCTCCAGGAGGCTACCATGGGGGTTGGGGGGCAGGGGAGGTATTGTTACCGGAATCCAATGGGCACCATGGCTGGAAGGGGAATTTCCAGGGCCTTTGGAATTGGGGTGGGGAGAGAGGATGGCAATGGGCAATTCCTGCAGTCCAGGGAGAGGTGGCAAGCTGGGCAGGCTGTTATTCCTAGAGCAAAGGTCTTGACAGGGCTCTATGGATGGCTTCCAAGTGACCAATCCCTCCCTCTGTAGGCAAAATTCTGTTTGTGAATTCCAGTGTATTTCTCTGGGGAGAAGTCCATAGCTGGGCCTAGATTCTCAGAAAGGTTCATGGTTCAGGAAAGGCCACAGCATATCTCGTCAGTTCAGAGCATGGCCTCCAGTGTCAGAGGGACCTGGGTTCATATCCTGGTTCCTCCCTTTACTACCTGCTTGATCATCAGTAAATAACTTACCCCCGAGCCTCAGTTTCCCTATCTGCCAAATGCGAATAAGGGTCTATTCCTCAAAGAACTGGGATGTGGTAAGTTCCTGGCAGCGTGGAGGCATCCAATACTCATAACTTTCCTTCCTACCCCTTTTGCTTACAGCAAATGCCCGTCTGCTGGCAGGGATGTGTGATTGGTGCGGGCATTTCATTTGGCAGTTACAGCATATTATCCCTCCACAAAGCCTTCATTACAGTGCTGCTAACAACACTGCAGATAAAGCATGGATGTCCCTGTGTGCCAGCCTCCAGGTGATTATAACATTTCGGTAAATTGCCTTTTGTCTCGCTGGAGGGATGACAGCAGGAGGGGACTGTGGGGGAGTCTCACTCGGCCATTTTGCAAAAACCACAAGGGAGGCACTGTGGCAAGGTAGCCTGGGTTTGCAGAAGGATTTCCGGCCAGCAGTGAGAAACCAGGGTGCCGGCCCTGGCTCTACCACAGGCAGACTATATGGGGTTGGACACGTGATTTGCCCTCTCTGGGTCTCAGATTTCTCATCTGTCAGGCAAAGCCCGTGGCTTCAAGACCAAGGGAGTCTTGGTTTGTCAGTGACATTGAAAGACGTTTATTGGCCAATTTTTGAGGAAGAAAGTGGGCAGAGAACTCTCTTGGGAATAGTCATCTGCAACCTTACACTCTTTGGATATGTACTTTTTATATCTCTATAAAATATAGGGCTGCTAGGAAGGCTCTCGGTTGTTTCTTTCTTTCACTCGTACACTCCAATTTCTCATTCAAAGTCAACTCTAACATTATCTTTAGCTTTGGAGTCAACTGGACCTGGCTTCCAATTCCAGCTCTGCCATTTGCTATCAGTTTGACTTTGGGCAGGCATTTCACCTTGCCTCAGTTTCATCATCTGTAAAGTGGGAATAACAAGGATAACTACTTTGTGGGGCTACTGTGGAGATTAAATAAAATAAAATACATGTAAAGTGCTTAGACCAGTGCCTGGAACACAGTAAGCAGTTGGCAAATGCTGGCTATTATTATTAGCCTGCTTTATCACCTGAAACAGTATATGGATACCTTTATGTATGAATAGATCTATTTCTTTGCTGCCATTTTTAATGATTGCATTGTATTCTATAGTAAGAATAAAGTATATGTTATTTAACCAGTCCTCTCGTGTTGGATGCTGGGGATGTTTCCAGTTTTCAACTGTCTAAACAGCGCCAGAGAAATGTTAGAAGATAAAAGTGGTCTTTTTTCTCTAGGTGTTCACTGTGCAGCTTAGATTTCACCCTTCTCTAAAGCTGGGTGGGGAGCAGATACACACCCTGTCTGGGAGCTTTTCACTCGTGTCTCTTTCTTTCTTTCTTTTTTTTTTTTAAAGACAGAATCTTGCTCTGTCGCCAGGCTCCAGGCAGGAGTGCAGTGGTGTGATCTTGGCTCACTGCAATCTCTGCCTTCCTGGGTTCAAGTAATTTTCTTGCCTCAGCCTCCTGAGCAGCTGGGACTACAGACATACGCCACCACACCCAGCTAATTTTTGTATTTTAGTAGAGACGGGGTTTCACCATGTTGGCCAGGATGGTCTCGATCTCTTGACCTTGTGATCCACCCACCTCGGCCTCCCAGAGTGCTGGGATTACAGGCATGAGCCACTGCGCCTGGCCTCCCATGTCTCTTTCAACAGATGATCTTGGAGCTGGTCAGAAGTGGAAAGTGGGAAACCTGGGGAAGCAATCAAGCCTGAGTGTGAATTCAGGCTCCTGCCAAATTTCTGGGGGAAATTCTTTAACCCCACTGAGCCTCAGTTTCCTCATTGTTAAACAGGGATCACAGGAGTACTCCCTAACCCTTAGCTGAGGGTCTGGTGTGTGGCAAAATCTCAGTCATCGTTAGCTCTCGCCACCACCATCATTGCCATCGTCCTCATTATTCTGATGGTGGCAGCTGAGTCACATAAGCCAGGTTACTTTTCACACTCTAATTCACACCCCTGATTCCCATCGTCCATTTAATGGAGTGTACATTCAAATGAGCCTTGTGGTCTTGATTTTGAATTCTGTCTGGAACCCACAGGTTCAAACGCAAAAGGGCCCTCTCTGCAAATAATCACTAGTGTGTGATATTTTTAAGAAGCCAAAGCCATTGTTTCTGATTGAAGGAAAGTTTGTGCTATTTTGAAGAGCAGCACGATTAAGCGGTGGCGTTATCTCTTTAACCATTGGGAATTATACGCTGTTTGAAAGATTTGTGAGCTCTAGGACATTTGCCAGATGTGCTTGATTCGACATTTCAGACAACAAAGGGGATAATGTTGGCGGGAATCTTGACGGCATTTCTGATGATCAGGATATTCTTTGAGGATGGTACTGAGACCTTTCGGGGAAGAATTTCAGCTTTTACATAAACTAATTTGGGATGCTCACTCTCTGTCTTCCACAAAGCAAATTTAGTTCATTGTTAGTTGTATATGTTAAAATGGTTACGAGGGTTTTTTCTTTGAATATTAATAATGTGTCTTTCATCTGAGACACTCGCATGGGGTATCATTAATTGGGAGGAGGGAGTAAAGATTAGTGGTACAGTTATTTTGCAAATGATTACTACTAGTAACGTTGAGGCAAGCAACAGCTACATGAAAGAGATACTCATACAAACTGCCAGCGAGGCTCTAGCTTACCCTTCCTAAGAGGAATGACAGGGACGTGTAGGAGGGGGAAGGGTTAGAGTTCATCTCCCAATTTCCCATCATAGTAAAGGCCATTCACCCAAATAGCTCCAAATGCTTCTTTATTAGCTCACAGTGTATAAAGGAGCGCTTTTCAAATAAAGTAACATCTGATTGTGGGGACTGTGGTGCTTTTGTTTTAAAGCTCTAGGATGGACCTTTTCATTCACTTAGGAATCTTAGTGAGCTCCCATTGGGTGCCAGGAACTGTGCTCGGTGGAGGAACAACTATGAATCACACATGCCCCTACCTAGAGAGGAGATAGATGAATACAGAATAAACCAGGACCACATAGCTGGCAAGAAGAACGAACAGGACAGGCTTTGGGAAGACTGGGGTTTAAATCTGTCTCTATCACTAGCTATGTGACACAAGCAAGTTATTAACCCGAGACCAAGCGTCTTCATTGCAAATTGTAAAATGTGTCTCATACAAATTACCCACTTGGGGTGGCTGTTTGTTGTTGTTGTTTGTTTATTTGTTTTTTGAGATCAAGTCTCGCTCTGATATCCAGGCTAGAGTGCAGTGGCACAATCTCAGCTCACTGTAACCTCCATCTCCCAGGTTCAAGCAATTCTCCTGCCTCAGCCTCCCAAGTATCTGGACTATAGTTGTGTGCCACCACACCCAGCTAACTTTTGTATTTTTAGAAGAGACAGGTTTTACCATGTTGACCAGGCTGTTCTTGAACTCCTGACCTCAGGTGATCAGCCTACTTTGGCCTCCCAAAGTTCTGGGATTACAGGTGTGAGCCATCGCCCCTGGCCAAGGTAAGCTGTTAAGGTGCTTGGCACAGAGCCTGGCAAGTATCCGCCACAATAAGCATTCCTTTCCCAGCTTGTCTCCCCAAGCTGTGGATACACAGGTGAAGCCATGTGCCCTCCTTTGAGGGGTACGGGAAAATCTTCCTGGCCTTCTGTTAGGTGCTAGGCATTGAGAGACATGGAGGACTGAGGTGGGTAGAGAAAAGAGGGAAAGGCATTCTGTGCTGGGGGAGAGATGAGGTGAGAATAGGCATTAGGAAGTGCTGGTGTGTTTATCAATGGATGCCAGCTGGTCCTGTCGGACTAGAACATGGGGCGTAAAAGAGCAGGTTGGAACACGGACCTTCAAAGTTATGCTGGGGCTCTGAGTGCCATAATCAAGTGTTTGCAGATCCCAAAGTTTCAGCAGCACCTCATTTTCCAAGCAAAACTCTTGAGGCAGAAAGACAGCATATTCAGGCCCATCTTTCGTCCTAGAGACTCCTCTCGGGTGCTTAGAGAAAGCTTAACAAATCCCAGGGTCTAATTCACTTCTTTCTCTCTGGCCTGAGTCAATAATTATCGTAATGGTAACAGCCACAATTACTAATCATAGGACACCTGTCTTGGGCCAGGTGCTGTCTGATGTATTTTGAATAGTCAATCTCATTTTTTTCTAACCATAATTTCTCCAGTAGGTACTACAACAATGCCCCTTTTACAGATGAGGAGACTGAGGCTCCAAGGGGAAAAGCAACCTCAGAGCTGGTCAGTGAAGATCCAGGAGTAGAGGCCAGCCTGAGGCATGGATGGATTCCAGGCCAGGCTTTTCACCACCACGCCATGCTGTCTCTCTCACCTCTCCCAGCTCTCTGACCTCTGTAGGGCAAGAGATCCTAACTGAGTCTCTCTTCTGTTTTGTTTTTGCAGTATTGATTAGAATATATAATAAATGTCTACAGTCGCTATCATTTATGGCTTTATGGTCTCAGGGTAAGCAGCAGTAGGGTGTAGTAGAGTGACCACTGGGCTGTGGTCAGATGTGAGTGGGTTTGCGTTCAAGCTTTACCATCACAATTCTGTCATTCATCATTCCAAGACCTTGTTTCCCAATCTCAGGATGAGCCCGTTCTCAGCTCACTGGATGCGTGAGAAGTTTATGAGATGTGAGGCCCATGAGCTTGAAGGCTTTAAGGTGGGCACCAGAAATGACCGATGCTGCTAGGGTCACACAGCAGGGAGTGGTAGGGATCTGGGCAGTGCATGGCCCCACCTAGGTGCTCGAACCCAAGCCACTTCAAGAATTGGACCAACCAGACAAAAACTGAAACGAGATTTATCCTGAGAGCCACTGGGTTGAGACCTCTGACAGATGTTAAACTGCTTTAAAAACTTGGATGTGCATAAAATATAATGGATTATTTTTATTATTCAAAATTATAAGTTGTCTATCATGTGCCAGGTACTGAATTTGGTATAATTAATTGAATAATACGAGGGACCTGGGAGCAGGTGCTCTGCCTGCCTGCTTGCCTGCCTGCTTTGTCTTTTACAAACATTTAATCAGCTCCAACTCATGAGGCCTGCGTGAGTTGCTGGGGACACAGTGATGAATCAGACATAGTCACATGGTCCTTGCCCTCAAGCTGCTCCCAGACTAGCGGGAGAGAGAGGCTAATAAAGATACTGCTTTCCAGAGCTAAGGGCTATGAGGTAGGCTTGAAAAACACAGAGGAGGGACACCCAACCCAGATACAGCAGTGGAGTCAGGGACAGAAGAGACAGTCAAGGAAGGCTGCCTAGCACAATGTCTACCAACAGCTGGTCCCACCCTTGAGAAGGTTGTGAAATCAATTTAGTGCCTAGCAACCAGCATTTAAAAAAATAAATAGAATAGAAAATATCAGGTCAAGCACAGTGGCTCACACCTATAATCCCAGCACTTTGGGAGGCACAGGCAGGTGGATCACCTGAGGTCAGGAGTTCAAAACCAGCCTGGCCAACATGGTGAAACCCTGTCTCTACCAAAAATACAAAAATTAGGTGGGTGTGCTGGTGCATGCCTGTAGTCTCAGCTACTCGGGAGACTGACACAGAAAAATTGCTTGAACCTGGGAGTCGGAGGTTGCAGCGAGCTGAGATCACACCACTGCACTCCAGCCTAGGTGACAGAGTGAGACTCCATCTCAAAGAAAAAAAAAAGAAAATATCATAGAATGTTGCATGTACAAAATACATCACATGCATGCACGTGTGTATATTCTGGATCATGATGTAAAACATTCCTTACTGTGGATCAAAGGTCTGAGAGTTATTGTTAGACTATGTTGTCTGCCCCGAACCCCAAAGCCTGGCTTCAAAAAATTTTGATACGTGGAAGGATGGATTTAAAATCTCACAGCAAAGGTGACTCTTCTTCTGGTGGCCCATCCTGTGACCAGCTTTACAATAAGCATTTCCAGCTCTGACCCACCCAGATGGCATGTGCTTCATAATAGCAGTGGCTGAGGCCCTTGTGTTTACTCTGGGGTGGCCTCAGTCACCCATCTCAGGTCCGGAGGCCCAGCAGCCTGCGCCTTCAGGATGCCAACCAGGAAGCACTGTTTGTGGGGGCAGATTGGAATGCAGCAGAGAGAGGTCCCTGGCGGAAACAGAAGAGGGACAGGAGCCTGAATCAGTCCCTCGCAGGGTGAGGTGAGTCAGGGGTAATGACTAGGTGGCCACGAACAGAGACTCCTTTTTAGTGGTTTTTCAGGACACTCCAAACTTCGTCCATCCTATAATATCAGGACCAAAATACTCCTTGGCTACCTTTCTCCTCCATCATAGACTCTTACTTAAGGTTGGAAAGGCCCTAGAAATTATCCAGCTCAACTCTCTCATTTTACAGAGAAAGAGAAAGGGGCCCAGAGAGGGAAGGCATTGGCCCAGGGTCATCCAGCAGGCAGCCCGTGAGCCGGGGCCAGGACCAGGAACCCGGGTCACCTACCCCATCACCCTGAGCCCCTGGTCCTTGGCGTGCTCCTCTCTCCCATCTTCTTACCAGAAGGCTCTCCTACCTAATCTTACCTCCTTTGGCCTCTTCTCTATATGTAATCAAAGAAGTCTTTCTAAAGAACAAATGAGTTACGATGCTACCTGCCTAAAGCCTTCCCTTGCTCCCCACTGCCTTAGGGTAAAAGACACCCATAATCTTTGCCCTCACCCCGCCCACCTCTTGGGCTTCCTCTCTTGCTCTTTGTCCCCTTTTATACTATTAGCTCATGCTCCTGAAATACTTGGGGCTTCCTAGATATGACATGTCCTCTCCCAACGGTGATCATACTGTCCCCTCTGCCTTTAACACTCTTACCAACCCTGCTGCATTTGTCAGCTCTTTTTAAGGTTACAGAGTAGATCTTCCTTTTTCTAGGAAACCTCCTTGGCCTACCAGCCTCCAGGGTAAAGTGTCCCTACTAAGTTCTCTGGCAGCAGCTCTATGATGTTATGATCCATGTTGCCATCAGTTTCTCCTGGCCCCTGAGAGAAGCCTCGGTATAGAAGACAATTCTGCCATCCCTTAGAAGAAATGGAATGCTGTATGGAAACCAGCAGTTCTCCAGGACACCTCTTCTTGGTACTTCCAGTGACCATAGTAAAAATTAATAAAAAACGAATCCAACCAACTACATAACCAACAAAGGCAGGATTGCTAAGGGTATGGACCCTTCAGGAATGAAGGTTTTGATCACTCTGCTAGGTAAAAAGCCAGGCCAATGGAAGGGTGGGCTAAAGGCAAATGGAACATGGGATGAATAATGGAAGAAGGAATTTATAAATATTAACTGCAGCCTCATGGCCAGTTACAGAAAGAGAACTATAGAAGTGATACAGTTTTTTCTCCTTGCTTGTATGTGCATGTATATCTGTGTCTATGTCTTCTCTCTCCATTTATTCATCTATATGCACATTGGGAAAGCACAGAGGAGGAAAGCCCAACCCAGACACAGCAGTGGAGTGTGAGACAGAAGAGATGGACAGACTGACCGAGAGGCGGAGCTTGCAATGAGCTAGGGTTGCACCATGGCACTCCAGCCTGGGTGACAGAGTGACACTCTGTCTCAAAAACAAACAAAAAACTTAAAAGAGACCAAGCACAGTGGCTCACGCCTGTAATCCCAGCACTTTGGGAGGCTGAGATGGGTGGATCACCTGAGGTCAGAGTTCAAGACCAGCCTGGCCAACATGGCGAAACCCCATCTCTACTAAAAATACAAAAATTAGTTAGGCATGGTGGCACATGCCTGTAATCCCAGCTACTCAGGAGGCTGAGGCAGGAGAATCACCTGAACCGCGAGGCGGAGGTTGCAGTGAGCCAAAATCCTGCCATTGCATTCTAGTCTGGGCAACAAGAATGAAACTCCACCTCAAAAAAGAAAAAAAAAGCTACTGACTCTCAGCCCCAAAGTGACCCTTCTATACTCAACTTGGCAATGCTGGGACGGGAACTGTCTGAACGTTAGTTTTACCAGCCGGCTCCTTGTTAGGGGCTGTAGGCAGACAAAGACTCGCTCCTTTCTGTTGTCCTTGTTGTTCATGCCAGGGGCATCTCAGCAGTGTCATTGCACTTCCAGTTTCCAGTTTTTCCCACACTCCTAGAATCGGCTTCCTCTCTTAGAGGTTCCACTGGGCAGTGCTCCCCACTGCCAGAGGTCTGGGTCCCAGCTCTGCAGGAGCCCTGCTCTGAGCTCCCAGGAGCCAGCCCCAGATGCCCTCTGCTCAGGGGTCTGGGTGGCAGGTCCTGGGCATCCCTCTGTTAACCTCCTAGGTTCTCACAACCTAATGTCTTTTGTCCCCAGTCCTTGAGGGGTGCCTGCATCCTTCAGTTACTTTCTCTGTTACCTCAATGTCTTCCTTTGCTTTTCCAGTTCCCTGGTAGCCACCAATTTCCTGATATTAGATTCTTTCCATTTTTCTTCTATTTATTTATTTATTTTTGAGATGGAGTCTCGCTCTGTCACTCAGGCTGGAGTGCAGTAGTGCGATCTTGGCTGACTACAACCTCTGCCTCCCAGGTTGAAACAATTCTCCTGCCTCAGCTTCCACTACAGGCACAGGCCACCATGCCTGTCTAGTTTTTTTGTATTTTTACTAGAGACAGGGTTTCACTCTGTTAGCCAGGATGGTCTCAATCTCTTGATGTTGTGATCCACCTGCCTTGGACTCCCAAAGTACTGAAATTACAGTTATGAGCCACTGTGCCTGGCAAATTCCGTTTTTCTAACTGAACTCTTACTGATACAAGTAAATATAATGCAGAGTTCTTCCCCACGGATCTTACAGTCTAGTGGGAGAGATACAGATTAGGCAAATATTATATTTAATTATGTTGAAATAAGTGCCTTGAAGGAAAAGCACAAAGCATATTAGCATATTAAAGGCCCTGAGAAGTTCTGCAGTAAATAAGCCTGGTTAGCATTGTCTCGGGCAACTTCTTGTCTTACTTGAGTGAGAAACTTCATGGTCAACCTATGAGCACTGAGCAGTTAGTGTGCTACAGAGTAGTGCATTGTGCAAATGGAAAAGGGAAGTCATTGAGAAAATGTGAGCCAGGGGACTTGGAGCGGGAGCATTTGTCATGTTCCTCCAGTAGCATCCAGTGGGTTAGGGGCAGCTCAGCTCCTGGATTCCAGTCACAGGATCAGCTGACAATTCTACTTGCTCTTTTTTTTTTTTAACTGAGTCTCACATTTTGTCTCCAGGCTGCAGTGCAGTAGCACAATCTTGACTCACTGCAACCTCCGCTTCCCAGGTTCAAGTGATTCTCCTGCCTCAGACGCCTGAGTAGCTGGGACTATGGGCGCTTGCCACCCTGCCCAGCTAATTTTTGTATTTTTAGTAGAGATGGGGTTTCACCATGTTGACCAGCATCATCTTCATCTCATGACCTGGTGATCCACCCACCTCGGCCTGCCAAAGTGCTGGGATTATAGGCGTGAGCCACCGTGCCCAGCCTCCTTGCTCTTATTATCACTCCACAAGGCACCTTTCTGGCCATCACTGACTTACTGAATAAATTTCCCTGTAGGGAGAGGATGCTCTCATTCACCACTGCAGACATTCTGGTCTACCTGGCAGTTTCTTTCTCTTTATAGAGCAAGGTTTCTTGACCTAGGTCTTTAGAGGTCCCATCCATCCCTTAAGACTATCTGCAAAATGTATGTGTGCGCGCGCATGTGTGTGTGCACATGTGTGCATGCATGGACATTTTTCTGGCAAGAGGGCCCATATCTTTTGATATTCCTAGTGGGAGTGTGACTCCAGAAAAGGGAAAAGCTAGGAATCACTGCATTCAAGGAAAATGTTTCTATTATTTTGTATATTGATCTCCTGTGAGTGTGGTCACTGTCAATGGGTTCTTCTCAGTCTGATCAGCCTTGTGTTGACTTACCAAACTGAGATTCTGCATTCTCCAAGGTACCTACTTCCCCAGCTACAGGACTAACCAACCTTCTTGGACCTCAAGGGATCACTCCCCTCCGGGCTGCTGCCTGTGCCATTTCCTCTCACTGGGAAACTGTCTCCCCAAGCCTTGCGATCATCTCCCAGTTTCTCTTTAGATCTCAGTTTAGAAGTCATTTCCTCCTTGAAACCTTCTCTGACTTACCACTTCAGGATCTGATACCCCTTCTTTGTGCTCCGACAGCATCTGTCCCACCTCTCTGGGGCTCCTATTTTCCCTTCCCCACAGAACCATGTTTTTCCCCTCATTGTGTTTGTCCCATGATGCAATTAACTGTTTATAGTACTTCTCTGCCACCTTTAGAATGCAAGCTCCACAAAGAAGGTAGACTGTCCAGCTTTGCTCGCTTTTCCCCCATCACCAAGCACGGTGTCTAGCACACAGTAGGTGCCCATTTAAATAGAAGGAATGTATGCAAAAATAAGTCCCTTAATCCTTTCAATGTGACTTTATGTGCCATCACAGCTAGACCACAAATGTCCTTTTACTTCCCTTTAGGACTAGGTACAGATTTGCCAGCCACGAGAAGTCCAAAAACTCAGGTAATCAATTTTTGTCTTTTATCAGCAAAAGCTTCTTTCTCATCAAGTGCATGTATAATTTGTACATACAGATGCACATACTTATATGTGGGTGGAGAGAAAAATGAGCTGCAGTGTTGTGAGAAACTTACCTGCGTTTCTCAGAAAGCGGTTCCTATAGTCCTTGATTACCCTGGTGACCGGGTTATAGAAGCCATCTCCACAATCATACCAGCCCTTGGGGATTTTTCTAGGTGGGTCCATATTGGTGAGTTGAGCCATAGCTTGAAGGAACACAATGGGCAATTAGTTCACCATCAAGGCCAAATCCAAACCCAATGTTCCCATAAGGTCCACTTGTGACTGATGGCTCATGTGACTATCTGGCTCCATTGTTGAACTTAAATACCCCCTACTCAGGGCAAGGAGCAAACCCAGCAGGAACAGTGCCCCAAAGGAACTTTCTGAAAAATGGCTCTATGGAACAGAGTCTTGGGAACTAGACCCTCTGTCGTCTTCTTCCTGTGACCCCATTCTCCACCATTTCTTGGGATAGCATGAAAAAGAGCGCAGGTTCTAAAGTCAGACAGACCCTGAGGATGGGTCAGAATTGACAGATGGATAGGAAAGCATCATGTCCAGAAGATGGGTGGCATTCAAAGCATGGGCAGAGGCCAGACACATGGATCCTTAGGCCCCACTCTGGAAACCTTGTAGAGCAGAGCACGTGTGAAGGAGAACAGCACACACAAAAAATGGATCAGGTGGACAAGGGGCAGGTAGGTGGTGAAGAACCTTGACTCTCACCCAAGTTACCATGGTGGCTGCCACTTACTGAATGCTTATTATGTGCCAGGCATTGCGCTCCTATTTTATTTAATCCTGTGAGCAACTCTGCAGCCCCATTTTACAGATAAGAAAACTGAGGTTCAGAGAAGTTAAAGTAACTTTCCCAAGGTTATCCAGCTAGGAAGCAGTCTAGCTCTGGAACCTGTATGTTCAGCAGCCAATATCAGGGGAGGAGAGAGCCTAGGTGCAGCCACAGGACCAGGGACACTGGGACCTCTGGGAGGGAAAGAAGACTGAGTGCACCTTTTAGGTCATGCACCTTATGTGTGTGTATCTTGAAATACCACAGCTGAGGTAAAGGGAAAGGTTGGAATAAATAACTTCTGAGGTTCCTTCTAACTATAGTTCCTATAATTCCTTGTTCTCTGGACTGAGAGCTGGATGCCCACTGAGCTCACAGCACCATGTCCACAATTTAGTGTCTTGCACACAGTAGGTGCTCTTTTTTTAAAAAAAATGGAGTTTCACTTTTGTTGCCCAGTCTGGAGTGTAATGGTGCAATCTCAGCTCACTACAACCACTGCCTCCTGGATTCAGGTGATTCTCCTGCCTCAGCCTCCCAAGTAGCTGGGACTACAGGCATGTGTCACCATACCCAGCTAATTTTGTATTTTTTTAAGTAGAGACAGGGTTTCTTGATGTTGGTGAGGCTGGTCTTGAACTCCCAACCTCAGGTGATCCACCAGCCTTGGCCTCCCAGAGTGCTGGGATTACCAGCATGAGCCACTGTAGCCAGCTAGTAGGTGCTCTTGTGTTGCTTAATGACATATTTAACCCCAAATCTGACACTGACCCTGACCCTAACCCTAACCCCATGTGTACTGGCTAATGTTTACTGAACGCTGACTCCATGTCAAGCACTTTATAGCCATTCTCTCACTGAAGCCTCATGCCAATGCCCAGCTCATGGATGCTCAAAGAGGTCAAAGGACACTTTTTTTTTTTTTTTAAGAGATGAGGTCTTGCTATGTTGCCCAGGCTGGAGTGCAGTGGCTGTTCACAGGTGTGATCCCACTACTGATCAGCACAGGAAGTTTTGACTTGCTCGGTTTCCAGCCTGGGCCAGTTCACCTCTCCTTAGGCAAGCTGGTGGTCCCCCACTCCCAGGAGGTCACCATATTGATGCCAAACTTAGTGCAGACTCCTGATTGGCATAGCGCATAACAGCCCAGAACTCCTGGGCTCAAGCGATCCTCTCACCTCAGCCTCCCAAGTAGCTGGGACTACAGGCACTTGCCACCATGCCTGGCCACAGGACACTTTTAACCCTCACTTTGCCTTACAGGCAGGGAAAGTTGCCCTAACAATGCCAGCCCCAAGAGGCAAAGTGTGGAGTGACAAGGGAAGGAAATCTTAGAATTCCTTAGAATTCGAAGGAAAACTTAGAATCGAGCTGCTCTGCTGAGGGTCCCTGGAGGAGAAGGGGAGAGCCAGGCAGGTTTGGGAAAAGCCATGACAGTGCCTTTGAGACTGGCAGAGGCTCAGCTTTGGCAAAATCAGACAATGTGTGAAAGCGGAGGCCTAAGGCTGAGGCCTTTTTTGCCTACAGCCTGAATTGGAGTGAACAGCCCATGACAAAGTCGAGGCCTCCCATCATAAGTAATTGGAGAGGAGTGATTTGCAAGGTTCCAAAGTTGCAGCCAGATTGGCAGCTCTTTGAAGGAAGAGATGATGTCCTTTCAGCTCTGGGTCTCCCCGGGGCCAGCCAGTGTCTGACATACAGTAGGAGCTTAGGAAATGTTTCTTAATGTCATTGCCTTAACTCCCCTACACACATACTTCACCCTGCACTGTGATGTCAATATCATTATCCCTGTTTGACAAGAATTCTTTAATGAGCACCCACTGTATGCCAGGCAATATGCTAGGGCCCTGCCTTCATGTTGCTCACAGCTGGCTTGGGAAGATGAGCTGAAAACTCATGATCCAAGCCCTGGGGGGAGATTATGGTTGCTCTCTGATATTCCCCAGGGAGACCTTACCTGGTATGGGAATTCAGGGAAGGGGGTCCTAGCTTCTGGACATGGAGCTGAGACCTGAAGGATGGGAAGGAGTTATTTGGGTAAAGTGAGAGGGTTAAAGTATTCCAGGCAGAGGCTGGACATGGTGGCTCATGCCTGTAATCTGAGCACTTTGGGGGGCCAAGGAGGGTGGATCGCCTGAGGTCAGGAATTCAAAACTAGCTTGGCCAACATGGCAAAACCCTGTTTCTATTAAAAATAACAAAAACTAGCCAGGTGTGGTGGTGGGTGCTTATAATCCCAGCTACTCAGGGAGGCTGAGGCACAAGAATCACTTGAACCCAGGAGGCGGAGGTTGCAGTGAGTTGAGATCACACCACTGCACTCCAGCCTGGGCAACAGAGTGAGACTCTGTCTCAAAAAAAAAAAAGAAAAAAAGTATTCCAGGCAGAGAGAATGGCAGGAATAAGTGTGGTCTCTTTGAGAAATAGAGAGAAATCAAGCATGCAAGAGGGGCAGAGAAAAACTGAGAAGGGTGGGTAGCCCGGGATTAGGCTGGAATATCAGGAGAAGCCAGGGAATGTCAGTGTTTCTGATAATTCAAAACCTTATTTTGAGGGCATAGGAGGCACTCAAGGGTGTTGTGGTCAGGGGGCAATCAGATTCACATTTTAAAAGATGTAAGTGGCCAGGTATGGTGACTCACACCTGTAATCCCAAGTTAAGGAGGGAGGATTGCTTGAGGTCAGGAGTTCTAGATGAGCCTGGGCAACATGGCAAGACCCCATCTCTATAAGAAACTCAAGAAAAATAAAATTCACCAGGAGTGGTGGTGTATGCCTATAGTCCCAGCTACGTAGGAAGCCAGATCTCTTGGCAGGAGGATGGCTTGAGCCCAGAAGTTCAAAGTTACAGTGAGCTATGACCTCACCACTGCACTCCAGCCTGTGCAACAGAGCAAGACAGTGTCTCAAATAAGTAAATAAAATAAATAAAGATGGAAGTGGCTGCAGAATGGAAAATGACCTCAAGGGGGTCAAGTGGGAAGCCAGGTCATCAAGGGGAGAGATGATGGAGGGCTGGAACAGGGCACTGGCAAAGAGAGTATGAAGAGAATGCTGACTGGCATGTGGAAGTGCTCAATAAATATTTGTTGAATAAACAAATGAAATAATACATTTCAGAGATAAAATCCGTAGGGCCAGGTGATTGATTGCACTTAGGGGACGGGAGAGGGGAGAATTAGGCTTACCTAGGTGGATGCACATGCCACATTCAGGAAGGCAACCATCATGGTGGGAGTGACAATGAATTCAGTGCAGAGAAGTTGGGGAATGACCAATACAGGTGCCAGGGAAGCTGATGCAGGGATCTGAGGCTCAGGGATTCTGATTTCAGTTTAGAAGCTGATGATAGTTGAAGGCTTAGAAGTGTATCAACTTGTTCAGGAAGAGTGTACAGAATGATAACGAAACAGTGCCTAAGCTAGAGAGCCCCGGGAACCTCAACATGAATGAATAATGGGGTGGGGGGAAGTTGAGGAGGTATTGGCAAAGAAGGCTGGGGATAGGAGGAAAATAGCAGAGTAAGTGTCAGGAGGGCAAAAGGAGAGAAGGTGGCTCAGCTGGTCAATTAACTGACCCAAGTCATGAAGCCAGGAAGGGAAGGAGATGGGGGTTTGAGCTCTAGTCTGCCTGACTCCAGTGCCTGGGGGCTTCCTGGAGACTTCTGCTGGGATGGAGGTTGACTTGAGCAGGCTCATCCAGCTACTGACAGGGAATGCTAGGACTCAAACCCACACTTTCTGGCTCCATGCTCTGCCAACTATAGCACATGGTCTCTCATAACCTAAGTTGGGATTGTTTTTATGGTATACAGAGTTGTTTTCCCATCTGTCATTTTGGATATATTATTTCTGCTGTGCCAAAAACTACACTCTTCTTGAGGTTCCCTTATGTCAAACACATCCCAGAAACACTCAGATGAGCCTTTTAAGGTGCCGCTCTCTGAATCTAGACTTGTGGCCCAAATGTAGCCCTCCTTGATGGGACACGTTGTTTGGCAGAAAGGAAGCATGATACAGGGGACCTCAGAGAGGAAGACTGGGTCTCCAGTGTGAGCTCTGCCACTGGAAACCATATCTAGACTCCACAGCCTCAACCTGGAGTGACATGGGACTAGGAAGGCTGACTGGGTGGGGTCATCTGGACACTAGGGAGACAGAGATTATAGAGAGCCTCCCCAGCACCTGATACACAAAGCACATGCTCTGTCCGTACTGCCTTTGCCCTTACTTCTTTCTTTTTAAAATATTTACATAATTTATGGTTACAGTAGGTACTACAAATAAGAATAACTGACATGTACCATGTACTTGCATGCATTCAAGGCACTGTTTTAAACACCTGATATGAATTATCTTATTTACAACAATCTTGGGAGGTAGATGATGCTACTGACCACATTTTGATCTTTCTTTTTTTTTCAAGACCAGAGTCTCATTCTGTCACCCAGGCTGGAGTGCAGTGGCGTGATCTCAGCTCACTGAAACCTCCTGAGTTCAAATGATGCTTGTGCCTCAGCCTCCCGAGTAGCTGGAATTACAGGCATGCCACCATACCCAGTTTGTTTTTGTATTTTTAGTAGAGATGGGGTTTCACCATGTTGGCCAGCTGATCTGGAAGTCCCGACCTCAAGTGATCCACCTGCCTTGGCCTCTGAAAGTGCTGGGATTGCAGGCATAAGTTATCGCACCCAGCCGATTGACCCCATTTTGAAGGGGAGAAACTGGGGTGCAGTAGGTAAAGTCCCTTACCCATGGTCCTCTGGCTAGCACAGTGGAGCTGAGATGTGAGGATTGGCCTTACTGCCTCTTTTGTATTCTACGCCTGCTCAGTTCCTCTTTCCCTTTAAGTTACTTCAGTAGAATACATTCATTTCATCTCAATAGTACCAAAAAAAAAAAAAAAAAAACCAAAGAAAAGAAAAAGTTACTTCAGTAGGCCGTAGTCCACTTATCTGAAACTACCTTTAGCTTCCCTCTTTGAGTATGAAGGAAAGGGTGGGTGCTTGGGTACCTGCAGGCTTCAAGCCATTGCGAATCTCTGTGAAAAACCTCCGATCATAGCCATCGCAGTAATGCCAGTTCTTCTCATCATAGTGCAGCCCATCTGCAAAGGTGTATGTGCCCTGGAGGACAAGGAGCACACATGTGTGTCAGAGGAAGCTGAAGGCTTTTGGCCAAGAGGTTTGGATGTCAAGGGAAGAGGGGGCTTTCTGATGGCCACAGTAAAGAAGTGGTAACTGTCACAATTATTATGGTTGTGACGACAAGAGGGAATGGATGTAAGTGCTGAGCTCTGTCCGTGCTGCTCAAGGTAGGTGAACTCATTTTGGCAGATGAACTTGGGCAGATAACCAACTCTCTCTGGCCTTTCATTTCCTCATTTGTAAGTTAATGATGGTGTACACAAAATAGGATTGTTGAAAAATCATTGAGATAGCACATATGAAGCATTTAGCAGACTGCCTGGCTGTGATGCTCAATATTGTGTGACAACTTGACTGGGTTAAGGGAAAGAGATGCCCAGATAGCTGGTAAAACATTTCTGGGTGTGTCTGTGAGGGCGTTTCTGGAAGGGAGACTGAGCAAAGAAGTGCCACCCTCACCAAAGTGGGTGGGCATCATACAATCCGTTGAAGGCCTGCATGGAGAGGAAGCGCCAATTCACTCACTCTGCTTGCACTGCGACATCCACTTTCTCTTGCCCTTGGACATCCACATTCCTGGTTCTTGGGCCTTTGAACTCTGACTTCGACTTAAACCATTGAACCCCCAGTTGAGGCCCTTGGGTTTGGACTGGAACTCACTAACAGCTTTCCTGGGCTTCCAACTTGCAGAGGGAAAACTGGGAGTCTTCTTAGCCTCCGTCATCTTGTGAGCCAACCCCTAATATAAATCTCTTTCCATACATCTCTATATATCCTATCAGTTCTGTTTCTCTGAAGAACCCTGACTGACACACTGACACAAAATAAGCATTCAACAAATGTTATTATTCTTTTATTATTATTATAGCTGGAAAGGTCAGAGCCATCAGCCATGGCCCTTTGTCCAAACACATACATTCTGCTTTTGCTGCCTTAGTGCTAAAGGAAGCCTCAGGATGTAGAGATTGCATTGGCCTGGACATCAGGAAACCTGGGTGGAAATTCCAGTGATACTATTAATGCACTGTGTGACCTCGGGTAAGTCACATCCCCTTCCTGGGGCTTAGATTCTCCAAGCTATAAAACAAGGAGCATTTCTTAACTTTTTTAGGTCATGAGTCAGGCCCCAACATGCTCTTAGTGAAACTGATAAAAACTATAGATAATTTTCCTGGAGAAAAACTTAGTCTCCTTTACACAGAAACTTTTGTATATAAATCAAGAAGTTTTAGTGACTCCCTGAATTCTATTTATGACCCACAAATACCAGGTTACGAATCCTTGGATTAGGTAAATTATATGATAGCAACAGTGGTGCTGGTAGTAAGAGCTAACACTTATCAAGTGCTTCTATGTGCCAGGAACTTAGCAAAGTGTTCATGTATACTGCCTTATTTACTCTTATGACCATCCTAGGAGGTGCCTTGTACTATTGTGGTAGGCTGAATAATGGTCCCCCACAGATGTCTGCAACTTGTGAATATGCTACCTTACATGGAAAGAGGGACTTTGCAGATATAACTAAATGAGAGATCCTAAAGTGGGAAGATTATTTAGAATATCTGGGTGTGCCAAATATAATTGCGAGGTCCGTAAGAGAGGGAGGTAGTAAGGTCAGGGTGAGAGAAGACGAGATGATGATGAAAGCAGAGGGACGGAGGGTGATGTGATGATGAAAACAGAGGTTGGAGTGATGTGTGGCCATGAGCCAAGGAATGCAGGCAGCCTCTAGAAGCTGGAGAAGGCAAGAAGACAGATTTTCCCATAGAGCTTCTGGAAGGAATGCAGCCTGGCTGACCTATTTCAGACTTACAAGCCCTAGAACTGTAAGATAATACATTTGTGCTGATGTAAGGCTAAATTCGTGGTAACTTGTTATAGCACCAATAGGTCACGAATGCAACTACTGCTCCAAGTTGATAGGTGAAGAACTCTCAGGGAGGTGAAGTTGTGGGCCCAGTATCAGGCAGTAAGGGGTGTAACAGATGCAAACTCATCGTGGTTTCTCCACAGGTCCTTCCAGATCCAGAGGGAGAGGAATCTAGAGCCCTGGGAGATCCAGAAGCAGGGAGAAATTAGCCGGGCAAGGTGGCACACTTGTAATCCAAGCTACTCAGGAGGCTGAGGCAAGAGAATAGCTTGAACCCAGGAGGCAGAGGTTGTGGTGAGCTGAGATTGTGCCACTGCACCTCCACCCTGGGTGACACAGTGAGATTCATTCTCAAACAAGCAAACAAGAACAAAACAACAACAACAAAAAACGTGGAGGGAGAAACAAAGAGAAAAAAGGCAATGGAAGGAGGTGGGCACCAGACAGGGAGGATGGGGCCCTTCCTGCCTGAGGATTTCTCCTCCACAGCCCGTCCCCCACAATGATCACCTTTATGGCCAATCCATTTTCCCAAACAGCATCGTATTGGCTCCCGTTGGGGTAGTACAGAGTTCCTTCGCCATGAAACATGCCGTCCTTCATTTCCCCAACATATACTGTTTCAGTACGGAGGATGTACTTGGCTTTGCCCTCCATCCTGTAAAGACACAGGGAAATCATTGAGCCCTGTTTGACAGCTGGAGCATCGGGGCTGGCAGGGACAGAGTGAGCAGGAACCCCATTCTCATCATCCTCATCCTTATCATCCCAGCACTCTGCTGCAAACAAAATTTTTGTTTTGTTTCCCTTAAAAGCTCAAAAATGAAAAGAGGGGAGTAGAGTTTGGTCTGTTCATTCTCCCCTTCACCTAGAGGCTCACCCTCACCTTGGAGTTCACACTGCCCCATGAAATATATCCCCTTGGTAAGCCCAGAGAGTGTAGAATGTGCCCAAAGCCACACAGTAAAAAGTGTGGAGACTAGAGCCCGGGTTTTCTAGCAGCTGGTTCTGTAAATTACTCTGTTCCCCCATGACCAACCTATCCTTGCCTATTATGCCACCAGTGGAATATTTGGAAAAATATGAAATTTAGAGATAGGAGATAAGAGTTTGAATCTTACTTCACCATTTTATAAATATATTATCTTGGATACTGATATGATTTGGCTGTGTCCCCACCCAAACCTCATCTTGAATTGTAGCTCCCATAATCCCCGCATGTCATGGAGGGGACCCAGTGGGAGGTAATTGAATCATGCGGGTGGCTTTTTCCTGTTCTGTTCTTGTGATAGTGAACAAATGTCATGAGATCTGATGGTTTTATAAAGGGAAATTTCCCTTAACATGCTCTCTTCCCTGCTGCCATGTAAGACGTGGCTTTGTTCCCCCTTTGCCTTCCACCATGATTGTGAGGCCTTCCCAGACATGTGGAACTGTGAGTACATTAAACCTCTTTCCTTTATGGATTGCCCAGTCTTGCATATGTCATTATAGCAGTGTGAGAATGGACTAATAAAGACACTTCCCCAAACCTCTTTGCTTGTGCCTCCTTCCCTTCCTTCTCTTCCTTCTTTCCTTCCTTCCCTTCTTTCCTTCCTAACAAATATTTACAGAGCACCGACATTTATTCAGGGACTCTGCTGATGGTCCAACCTGCTGAATACATAATAGATTCAACAGCTATCAAGGTAGATGCAGTTCCTGTCCTGGGGGACTCACAGTCTAGTGGGGACACAACTAAGCAATTATACAATATGTGGTAAGTGCTATGCAGGAGGAAGACAGGTCCATACAGAACAAGGTAGGGACACCAACTTGATAAGTTGACTTTGTTTTGTTTTTTGTTTTTTTTCAAGACAGGTTCTCGCTCTGTCTCCCAGGCTGGAGTGCAGTAGTGTGATCATGGCTCAATGCAGCTTTAATCTCCTGAACTCAAGTGATCCTCCCACCTCAGCCTCCCAAGTAGCTGGGACCACAAGGTGCCCCACCACACCCAGCTGGTTTAAAGATTTTTTTTTTTTTGTAGAGACAGGATTTCTCTGTGTTGCCCAGGCTGATCTCAAACTCTTGGGCTCAAGTGATCCTCCTGCCTCAGCCTCCCAAAGTGTTGGGATTACAGGTGTTAGCCACTGCACTGGGCTGGCCAGTTTCTTTATGGGTGAAATGGCTGTGATTAATCCAGATAACATATAATGATTTTCCTAGTAAAGGGCTTGACATATAGTGACTGCTTAATAAATATTCTTTCATTCATTCCTTGTCCATTCCTCCCACAAGCTGAAGGCCTCTCCTAAATCTGATCTTCTTTAGGCTTTTGCTGGTACCTCTGTTGGGATGCATAACACTTTCTACCTTGTACTGTAATTAGATATCTTAGCTCCTGCAATGAATTAAAACTTCTTTAAAGGAAGACCTTGGTATCCTCAGCTCCTAGAACCACTAAGCAGGTGCTTCATAAATGTCTCCTGAGTAAAGAATGAAGGAAACAGAAAGACCAGTGAGTGAACAGAATGGACGACAAAGTTGTTGAGATAGCTGAGTGAGACGATGGATGTGAAACCATAGCAGAATGCCTGGCATAGAGAAAGAACTTGAAAACTATTTTGCTTTTATTCTAGTGTAAGACATGGGGGGAAGGGAGAACTCCTCTTCTCCTTTCCTCCGCTACTCTTTGCTCGAGCTCACACCTATCATTTTTAAGCTCTGTCTCCATATTAAAGTTCCACACCCTTCTCTGAAGTTAGACCCAACACCTTTTCTTACCTCAAACTGGACATCACTGTTCAGACCTCTCACAGACATCTCCAACTCGCCTAAAACAGAACTCATCCCCTCCCCCACTAAGCAGCACCTCCTTAGAGCTCTCTACTTCCATGATTGGCATCACAATCCTCTGGTTCAAGGCCAGGAGTTGGGCTCTGGGCTGGGGCTGTAAGTCATCTCTGGCCAGGAGTGGGGCCAATCGGCTGCCAAATCCTAGCAGTAAAACCCCCAAATCTCTCCTGCATTTTTCTTTCCTGTAGCTCTACTGCCTCTGCCTTGGCCCAGGGTTCTGCTGCCTCTTACTGGGACAACTGCAATGAGCTCTGATTTGATCTCCTCATCTATACTTGTCCTGCTTCCCTCCTCTCCCCTTCTCCTCCCTCCTTCTTTTTCTCCTTCCCTCTCTCTCTCCTTCCCTTCCTTTTTTTCCTTCCTTCTCTTCCATTTAAAAAAATTCATTCAAGGTGAAAAGCCTGCCTTGCAAATTCAAAGTAAGTTAAAAAGAAGAAAAAAGCCACTTTATAATGAAGACTTCAATCCATAATAAGGATATGATTACCAGATCTCAAATACCTATCAGATTAGCTGGGCATGGTGGTGCACATCTGTGGTCCCAGCTACTTGGGAAGCTGAGGTGGGAGGATTGCTTGAGTCTGTGGGGAGTGGGTGGGGGGAACAGAACGGGTAGATGTTGCAGTGAGCCAAGACCGCACCAGTGCACTCCAGCCTGGGTGACAGAGTGAGACCCTGTCTCAAAAAAAAAAAAACCAACTTATTATTCATTCATTCATTCATTCAGCATTCAGCCAGCATTTACTGAGTCCCTGCCACATATATGCACCATGAGAAGAGATACACAGATGAAATAAGTTTTATTTCCTGATGCTTGGCTCTACCAAGGGTCTATCAGTGGTTCTTCCATCTCCAGAATTGTGCACGTATTGACATTTTTTTTGGCAGAGGACAGACTGCCTGTCCAACTTCCCCTCGCATGACTCCTCCCAGCACAACCCACTCTCCTCACAAACTGAACTGCCAGCTCTACTTTATACACACATTCTGCTTAGAAACATTCTTCACCTTGCATCTCCAACCACCTAACTCCTACCCAGCCATCAAGGCCCACTTCAAATATTATCTCTTCCATGAAGCCTTTAAGGATGGCTCCAACTGTATGTGTCCTCTGAAGAGGCCCAGCAGCAGGGCTCTACTGTAGGAAGCACATGGGCTTTGGAGTCTGATAGACCTGGGTTTTAATATCTGCTTTGCCAAATGCTAACTAGGTGACTTTGGGCAAGTTATATAATTTCTCTGAGCCTTATTTTTCCCATCTGTAGAACAGGATAATGATATCTATTTTAAAGAGGCCCTGTGAAGAGAAGATGCAGGCAAAGCCACCCAGAGCACAGTAGTTGCTACACAAATGCTCTTGGCATTCCTTCCTCCCCTGTGTTTGTAGGTCTTTTCTGGCACTTACCTTGTGGTGCTTTGCAATGGAGTTATCAATCTGACCGTGATATTGAGGTCAGACAGATCCTATATTAACTTTTAATTTTTTTAATATTCACACATGGTACGGGGAAATCATGTCTCTCTCAAGTTTTTTTGAAGCAGATTTAGTGAAGTGTAATTGGCATACAATAAGCCATATGTTTAAAATATACAATTTGATATATTTTGACATCCACCTGGGAAACCATCATCACAATCAAGACAACATATCTACTCCCCCAAAAGTTTCTGCATGCCCTTCTGTGACACTTCCTCCTTGCCCCTGCCCACAATCCTCATCTCTAGGCAACCACTGACCTGCTTTCTGTCACCAAAGATTTGAATTTTCTAGAATTTTATATAAATGGAATCATACAGTATCTACTCTTTTTTGGTCTGGCTTCTTTCACTTAGCATAATTTTTTTGAGATTCATTCACATTGTTCTGTGTACCGATAATTCACTCCTTTTTATTGCTGAGTAGTATTCCAATGAATGGATATACCACAATTAGTTTCTTCATTCCCCTGTTGATGACATTTGGGTTTGTTTCTAGTTTTGATTATTATAAATAAGGTTGTCATGAGTACTTGTATACATGTCTTTGTATAGATAAACACTTTCATTTCTGGGGTAAACACCTATGAGTAGAATGGTGGTTTAACTTTTTAAGAAACTGCCAAACATTTCCAAAGGAGTTGAACCATTTGACATTCCCATCAGCTGTGGGGAGTCTATATAGACTTTTTAAATCAAATGTTAAATATCAACTTCCTACTGTATAGAGAAGTTACTCTATTCATTTAAGCTCCAAAAAGAAAATATCCCCTCCCCAAATTAAAAAAAAATTGTCTACCATAGATATAAATAACATCTATATATGATCATGACTTATTCCTCAGAACACTGCTGCTGAACATTCAGCATTGCCTTCCCATTTTATAGATGAGGAAACTGAGATATGAGTGGTTAATTAAACAAGAAGCCAGTGGCAGAGTTGAGCCCAGACTGTCTCATGCTGAAGCCTTTTTTCCTCTACTATGTTGTTGCTCTCTCTTACATGCAAAACTTTGAGACACTCCAAATAGAACTCTAGTTAACTGTGGTTAAAAAGAACAAAATCAACACCGAACACATGTCCAACTTATGAAAAGAAGTATAACAAGTGAAAAACTGCTGACTTCTTGCTAGTTATGGGAAGTTGGGAAGTCCTATTCAGGTCTGGACATCCTTATTATGGTTACAGAGGTACCAAACAATCCCAAGCAAAACCCAAATTCCTAGGGACAGAAGCATGGGCATGGCTGATACGATACACAAACCCAATGAAAAATACACGGAAGGCCAAAGGCAAATGGTTGAATGTTTTCCCTCTTACCTCATCTGTGTGTTTCTCTCTCACACATACACAGCCCGTAGAAAATTAACGTAGTTTCTCAACTTTTTGTGCCTAAAATGTTTGTGCCTAATATCTATCTGCTAAAATTTAACCACCTTCACTGTAGCAGAGCCTTGTGTAAAGTAAGAACGTGGTTTGGACAGAGGACTGGGTTCAAATCCTGACTCCATTACTTCCTAGCTGTGTATCCATAATGGCGGGCAAGTCATTTTGCTTCTCTTAACTTCTGTTCCTTCATTTGCAAGGTCAGCCTGAATGATCTCACTGAGTAGTGAGATGGGGCACACAGCAAGCACCTCTGCCACTTATCTGCTAATTAGGACAAGTGTCTCAAGCCCTGTAAGGGTCACCTTTCTTACCCAGAAAGATAACAACATATTCCTTGCAAGATTGATGTAAGGATTAGAGATAGCATCTCACAGCATCCCTACCACCTCCTCTAGGAATCTATCCCCTATCCCTGTCCAGACCACAGATCCCTTTTTCCTATGAACTCAAAATGCCCCTGAAGTCCACCAACTTGTGAATACAGGGCCCAGGTGGGAGTGATTTACAGTCCTGACAACTAGCATTGGATTGGCAAACCACTTCATGTCGTCCAGCCTTAGTTTCCTCAACTATAAAAACAGAGATTCCTGGAGGCTGAGGCAGGAGAATTGCTTGAACCCAGGAGGCGGAGGTTGTGGTGAGCCAAGATCGCGTCATTGCATTCCAGCCTGGGTAACAAGAGCGAGACTCCATCTCAAAAAAAAAAAAAAAAAAACCAAAAACCAAAAAACCAAACAAACAGAAATTCCACTTTCTTCATCCAGGGTGGTAGGCAAGAAAGAGTGGCCATCTCTGTGTTCCTCAGCTTCTCTCTACCACAGCTCTTACCACAATGAATTGCAATTATCTCTTATGTCTACTTGCCCCACCACATTTGGACGAACTTTCTGAGGATTTCAGGGATTGTGCCCAGAGTCAATTCCAGGACCTGGTACTCAGTTACCACCCAACATTGTTGAATTGCTGAGCATGGTGGCTCATGCAAGAGGATCACTTGAGACCAGGAGTATGAGACCAGCTTGGACAACATAGCAAGACCTGGTCTCTACAAAAGGCATCTAAAAATTAGCTGGGGGTAGTGGTGCACACCTGAAGTCCCAGCTACTTGGGAGGCTGAGGTGGGAAGATTGTTTGAGCCTAGGGAGTCAAGGCTGCAGAAAGCAGTGAACAGGCCACTGCACTCCAGCCAGGGCAACAGAGTGAGATCTTGTTTCAAAACAAAACAAAAACAATAAAGAAAGAAAGAAAAAAACCTGTTGAATTGTTTGTACTACTAGTCCACTACAGCGATTTTTGTATATAATCCTCTATAATAATCCCTAGACTGTGAACTGTGAACTCCTGGAGGGAGGCAACCATGTAGATTCAGATTGGCCACAGTCTCTCTTCCCCAGTCTTCGTGTTTGTTTTCATAGCATTTACCACTATCTGTAATTATTTTATCACTTATTTGTTTATTGGTAATACATCTCCAACTGGATTATAAACTCCATAAGAGCAAGGATCTTGACATTTTAAATATTCTTATTCCTATGTCTAAAACTGGCAGAGAGCATACACATACACAGAGTATATATGGAATGAATACATCTCAGCTTTGCTGCTTATTAGATATGGTCCTTGAAAAAATTACTCGGGCAAGTTTGTGAAAGTGCCTGGCTCAAGGTGTTTCGAAGAAGCGAAAAGACAGCAGTCTTTTTCCAGTCACAACTATTCAAGGTCTAGTGAGTGATTCAAACGAGGTCCTTACCTCCCATCTACATATTCCCCGATATATTTGCTCCCTGTGTACTCCATGGCTCCTGTTTTTAGCTTCCAGCTGTTAGGATCCGGAGTCTCAGTAGATATGGCATCACTATGACAACTAGGAGGGCTGGGCGGAGCAGAATCGAAGCCCCGCCCCCATGGAAGCGGTAAGCTACTTGGTATTGCGCACGCGCCCTCGCTCGGAGTTGGGTAGAGCAGTGCGCCTGCGTGTTGCCGGCTGCGCATGCGCAGGTGCCGTGTGGCTCTCGGCGGTCGAAAGGGGAGTTCAAGGAGACGGGGGCGACGCGGCTGAGGGCTCCTGATCGAGGTCAGGGCTGCAGCAGTCATGCCGGGGATAGTGGAGCTGCCCACTCTAGAGGAACTGAAAGTGGAAGAGGTGAGGCTGTCCGGAGGACAGGCAAGGGAGACATGGAGTTACAGCTTCTCGGGCCTGGGCCCAGCCCCGCTTGGGCTCAGCGGACCCTGGGCCCCGGGCCCTCCTCCCCAGTCCCCAGCACATATACAGGTCGACCCCCGGAGGTCCCCTCCGCAGCTCTGGGAGTTGCCTCCCCTCTCCACCTCACCCTGTCACATCCCGCAGTGGCCCTAGAATTCTCCCCCTTTCGCCCTCCACAGCGACCTGCTTCCCCTTCCTTGAATAATAGTGATACTTTTTATTAAGCACCAACCAGAGTCATTTTACTTAGCTTATGTGGCTTAATCCTCAAACTTGCATGCGAAGTGATTATACAGCCCTAGGGGCTCACAGTCGAGGGAGACCGTCACCTACCTTAAAGTGGTGTCACCGGTCCAGAGTGCATAGTGGGGCGAGGAGGCCGCGGGAAAATGAGATGGTATTCGAACGTGCATCTACTCACAGCCATGGAAAGGTGTTTGGTAACAGGATTCATTTAAAGCATTCGTTTATTCAAGAGATATCATTTGAGTAATTAACATGTGCCGATAATGCTGGAAGAGATATACTTCCTGCTTTCATGGAGTTTACAATCTAGTAGGGAGACAGACACATAAAGGGGCAATCACAGTACAGTGTAGTTAGTGCTGTGAGAAGTGAAGTAGAAACACACCCTACTAATTATAGCTGACATGATCAAGCCCTTTCTAGATTCCAGGCAGGCTGCTAATTTCTTTCTATGCATTAATTCATTGAATCCTCTCAGTAACACTATAAGGTAGGATATACACAATTGATCTTAACATATTATATATAAAGAAATAGGCCCCGAGAGTAGAAATGATTTGCCCAGGGTCACAGAGCACTTAAGTAGTAGAGCTGGAAGTGAACCCAGGTCTGATTTTAAAACCAATGCTTTTCCACTGTATTATGGGTGAAAGCTCAAAAGAATGGGAAGGCCTAACAGAACTTGGGTGTTTAGGGAACCAAGGACAGTTTGATGTGACGCGAGCGGTGGTGAGAAGCTGCAGGTGCTGAGCCTGGAGAAGCAACTTGTGCTGAGATAGGACTTGGAAGTAGCTTCCACAAGGTCAGACCAAATAGTTTGGACTTAATCTAGTGAGGGAGGTGGTGGGAAGAGGTGGAAGGTTTTACGGCAGAGGAGTGTCATGGCGGGGCTGGACAGTAGAACAGGCTATATTAAAGAGAAGACGGCCAAGACTAGAAACGATGTGCTAGAAATGATAGACCAGACTCTACAGTAAGTGTTTTACCTGCAGTGCTTCATTTAGTCTTACATGCCTGTGAGAGTGGCAACTGCTATTTTCCTCAGAGGAAGAAATTATTAGCGATGTTCAGGGACTTTATTATATTAAAGCGACATTTACTCTGAGGTGGCAGAGGGGAACTGCCATGTGGCCACCAGTCTTTTGTCGTCCCCCTCCACCCCTGACCCCACGTAGCTGGGTTAATTTTGAGTTGCTGTATTTTTTGTTCCAGTTTTTATTTGGTTCAACAAACATCTGAGGTTCTACTTCATACAACTGATACATCTAGAATAAATTTGCCTTTAGGGTTCACACAATTGAATGAACGTACAGATAATTAAATAACTATAGAAGACAAGTGTGATTAAATACTATGAAAGGGGGCAGATGTGGTTTAAGAAAAGAAGATTTGGGCATGCTGCGGTGGCTCACACCTGTAATCCCAGCACCTTGGGAGGCTGAAGCAGGCAGATCATGAGGTCAGGAGTTCGAGACCAGCCTGGCCAACATGGTCAAACCCCATCTCTACTGAAAATACAAAATTAGTCAGGCATGGTGGCCCATGCATGTAATCCCAGCTACTTGGGAGGCTGAGGCAGGAGAATTGCTTGAACCTGGGAGGTGGAGGTTGCGGTGAACTGAAATCACACCATTGCACTCCAGCGTGGGCAACAAGAGCAAAACTCCATCACACACACCAAAAAAAAAACCAAAGAAGAGAAGATTTGAAGTTGGATGTAAATTCTAGGCCTACCTGCCGGTCATCTTGATTACTTGATTTTAGCATTTGGAGACATGGTTATTTGTAAGATGAGGTGATCCCAGCTCTAAAATTCTTTGAAGCTATAAAGGGATTAGAGAAAGCACTTTTGGGGCATAATGTAAGACCTGGCTAAATGGCATTTAAGGGCAGAGATGAAGAGAAGATCCTTGTAAGTTAGGGTAGGGTCTGAGCAGAAGTAAGGAGATGGGAAAATTCAGGGAGCCAAAAAGGAATTCAGTGGTTTTTTTGTTTTTGTTTTTGTTTTAAAGTGACAGAGTCTTACTCTGTAGCCCAGGCTGAAGTGCAGGGGGGTGATCTTGGCTCACTGCATCCTCTGCCTCCCTGGTCTCGGTTAAAGCAATTCTCCTGCCTCAGCCTCCCGATTAGCTGGGATTACAGGTATGTGCCACCATGCCCAGCTAATTTTTGTATTTTTAGAAGAGACGGGGTTTCACCATGTCGGCCAGGCTGGTCTTGAACTCCTGACCTCATGATCCACCTGCCTTGGCCTCCCAAAGTGCAGATATTACAGAACTGAGCCACTATGCCCTGCAAAGAGTTCAGTGTTTTGAAAGAACAGTAAATAGTCCCATTTTGAAGTGTTGTGGGTGAGAAGGCTGGAAAGATAGTTTGGGTTCAGAAGCCTTTCAATACCTGTTAAGAAGTTTAGGCCTTATTCGGCTAAGGCTGAATGAGAGTTTAGTTGCTAATTTAATAGCAGAGTAAGTAAGATTATCATTTAGGAAGATCACTCTAGCAGCTCTGTGAAAAACGATTGAAGAAAGGAAAAGAAAAGCAGAGAGACTGGTCGCAGTGGCTCTTAAGATTATTGAGAAAGATGTTAATGATCCCAGTGTAATTGGTGCTTACAGAGACTGCTTACAGAGAGGAAAGAATATCTAGATTTGATCAGACTTAGCAATGGATTAGATATTGGAGGCAGGGAAGGTTGAAGAATCAATGTCAGATTTGCAGCATGACAATTCTGCATGTTTAAGGAGGCAAGGACAGGACTAGAAGGTTGATTGGCTCCAGATGGTGACTTTGCCTCACTTTCCACACCTGCAGACTGTGTAACCCTGCTGTGTAGTGAGGCTGTTGTGAGAATAAATGAGAAAAGAGGTTGAAATTCTGTGTTCTGTGAGACAAAGAGAGCTGAATGAATTTGAAAGGGTATTCACAGTAAAGAGCTGTGAAAGGAGTTGTTTCTGTTGGAATTCATCAGTCTTAGTGAAGAAGCAGGTGAGGGGATATGGTAACATCTCAGATTCATCCACCTCAGTGATGGTGATGTAATGGGAGGAAGCCTGATTGGAGGTCACAGTCTCTGTGTTTCAATTCTGGGGTTGCCACTGACTGGCTGTGTTGCCTCTAGTACATCCTTTCCTACTTTTCATTAATTACAAAACAGATTGAGCGTCTTCCTTTGTTTTCCTGTGACAGGGATGATGTTTTATACACTCAGTGACATGAGTGTATCTTCATTTTGGTAAGACTTCCACATTTGTAAGGATATAAATAATGCAACAGGCTTTTTTTGGCCTTATAGCTTTGGGCATTTGAATAATTGAATCAGCCACTTAAAGCTATTTTAAGACATATGACAAGTAAATATAACTAACTTAATTATTAAAATAAGCTTTTTAAAAAGTTTGCGTGTTAGTTTTTATTCTCCTACCTGCTTATAGGTAATAAAGCAAATGTGTGCCACTCAGTTTACCTTAATACATTCTTTTATTTTCAAAAACTTTAATGCGAAAACGTTACAGATTTTAAACATAAATTTATTAGAGTCATCATGGCAGATTTCACTTATCTGAAAATTTTATCTTTGCTTTGATAATTATAACAGTTGCACTATTAATAGACATAGTCATAGCTTTATTCCCCTTTCTATAGTGTGTAGTTGAATTATTCCTGTCACCTTTCCTTGCCTTTTATTAATAACTTAGCTGTGTAAAGGGCATAAAAAATAAAATTACAGACTGTTGTCACACAAAAATTTTTAATTTTACAAATAAAATTCAGGACTGTATTAAAGCATGATACACTGTGACAGACTAGATTTTATTCTAGAAATACAGTGGATCGGTTTTACAAAATTTGTTAATGCTCTATGTTACATTTATAAATTAATGAAAATGAAGCCTGAAAATTTTAGTCTTTTCTGGTATAGAAAACAGTAAAGCAAAACTAATTAGAATTAGAAAGAAGCTTTCTTAACAAGGAATATCCAAACAACTCTATCCCAGATACCAACAGCAAATATTATACCAAACTGTGCTTTAAATTTTAGAAAAAGGCAAGGTTGTCTGCTGTCATTGCTCTTCATCTGTATTGTCCTGAAGCATTTGGTTAAAGCAATAAAATAGGAAATGAGAATAAGAAGAAAAAAATTAAAGTATCAGAAGGGAAAGAGACAGTTTTTATTTGTAAATGGAAGTTTTTCTGTTAATCCTCTTTTGTATCAGAACTAACTGGAGTTCAGTAAGGTGGCTGGAGAGAATGTACAGGCAAACAGTAAACAGTTTGAAAATCTAATAGAAAAACTGCCCTATTTAGATAATATCAAAAGTGCTAAAATACTGAGGAATGAACAAGAAATGTTCAAGGTCCCTCTAATGAAGGAAACTGTAATTTTAACCAAAGGACAAGAATGACCTGAATATGAATAAATAGAAGTACTGTGATGTGGATGAGAAGATGTGATTCATG